ATTTCTGAAACTTCATCTACAATCATAAAGAAAATGGAAGTTTTGCAAAACTTACCATTCCAAGTGTCCTAAATGTCAAAAGCCAAAACAAAATTCGTCGAAAGTCTAAACATTTTGACAGATTTCAGCGGTTTAAATTAAAATTTTAAATATTTTTAAAAAGAAAACAATATTACTTACCTCTGATTCTCATTCAACCCAATTCCAGGATTCCGAAAGGCTTCAGCAACCTACAAAGAAGGATTATTTTTTTTTATTTAATTATTTTTTAAAAAACAAATAAAAAAAAATACTAATCTTTGATTTATTCCAGGGTTCTGGAGTAGACTTTTAGCGTCTACAAAAAGAGGTAAGTAAAAATATTTAAATTTTGTTTTTTTTTAAATTACACAAGAAATCATAGATTATAATAAAAAAATTGAACAATTATTATGATGAGGATGATATTGAAGAACTTAACGAAGATTTAGAAGAACTGAAAAATATTTCCGACCTAATTGATGAGCAAGAAAAAAGAAAAATTGCTGCTTTGATTGCTAAGTTATACATTGTCCATCACAATGAAATTAGTCTGGCTAGTAAACTTTACAAAGAGCTAAATAAATTTTAACAAGCCAAAGAAAAAGTAGAAGCTGGAGGTTCTCAGTTTAGCCAATAAACAATTTCTCAGGCAAAAGCTTTTGACAAATATAAAACGAGCAAAAGAGTCACTATACCTATCGCTAGTTCAAGTTTGCTAACTTCTTGCTTTGGCATATACGAAGATATTTCCAGCTTTGAATTTACTTTAACCTATCTCGAATTTATTATTGGGGAAGTACCAACCTATTATACAGTATTAGGCCTAGAAATAGAAGCAGATTTGATAAAGTCCAAGCGGCTTATGATGACTTAACTCCGAAATGAAAAGTTGATAACTGAAAAATATCTTAGCTGAAGAAGGGGTAGAGTGTATGGATGAAGAATGTGAATTAGTTAAAGCTGATAAACCTCTTCCTTTATTTTGTTATGACCACTGTAAAGAAACCTTTGCCAGAGTAAATAATAGACAAAGGGAAATAAATAATGCTTTTCATTTTTTTAAACTAAAAGAAAATTGACCTAAGGAAAAAAGTACTTTCTTTTTTATTTTAACGCCATTGGAAATAACAAATAACATTACTTACCTCTGATTCATTCAATCTAGGATTCCAGGCTTCAAAAATCTACAAAGAGAGTCAAGTATAAAATAAAAATCTTTGTAATTAAAAAAAATATATATATATACTAACCTTTGATTCAGGATTCTGGAGTGGACTTTCGGTATTTATAAAAAGAGGTACAGTCATACCTCTCTATAGCGAATTTTTATTTAACGAATTTTTTGGACAACTATATTAAATTTACCCTCGTTATAACGAACTAGCCAATCAAATTCTTTAAAAAATTCACTATAGCTCTATAGCGAAGTTGAAGTTCAGGACATAAAATTCGTTATATCAAGGGTTGACTGTAATTAAAAAAATTTTTTTTTTAAAAATATTTTTAAAAAACATTAACTTACCTCCGATTCATTAAATACAGAATTCCAGGATCCGGAAGGCTTTAATTTATTCCAGTGGACTTTTGGCGTCTACAAAAAGAGGTAAGTAAAAATATTTAAATTTTTTTTTTAAATAACAAATAATATCACTTACCTCCGATTCATTCAATCCAGGATTTCAGGTTCTAGGCTTCAGAAATCTACAAAGAGAGGCAAGTATAAATTAAAAATCTTTGTAAGTAAAAAAAATATATATAAATACTAACCTTTGATTCAAGATTCTGGAGTGAACTTTCGGTATCTATAAAAAGAGGTAATTAAAAAAATTATTTTTTTTAAAAATATTTTTAAAAACATTACTTACCTCTGATTCATTAAATACAAGATTCCAGGATCCGGAGGGCTTCAGCAACCTACAAAGAGAGGGATTAAATTTTATTAATTTAATTATTTAAAAAAAAAGTTAAAATACTAACCTTTGACTTATTCCAGTATTCTGGAATATTGTGTTTTTTTTTTCTTTTAGGATATCAAATTCGGTGAAAATAATAATCTACTATGGATTGGATTGGCTTATATAATCAGATCTAAGCCACATTTTTTTTGTTATTTTTGATTTTTGTTTTTAAAACATTTTTTTTAGGGTCAGAACTAGACGAATGGATGAATCGGATGATCATGTGAATGAACTGTGTTAAGTTCATACTTTTTTTTTTTACTTTTTACTTTAGGAAATGTTAGTAATGTTCTCTTTCATTTTGTTTTGTAAGAACTGGATGTTTTTAGGCTTGAGAACATTTTGGAACAGTAAGTTTCATTGCGAAGCTTCCGTTTCTTTTGTTATTTTCTAATTGGGAATATCACTAACGTTCCCTTTATTTTTTAGGAGACCTGAATTAACTGGACGACTAGGATTTTAAACGAATGAACTATGGTAAGTTTATTTGTTTTGCTTTTTGATTTTACTTTAGTGAACGTAATTAATGTTCCTTTCATTATTTTTGTAGGAACTGGGGATTTTTGGTGTTTAGACGTTTAGAAATGGGAAGTTTTATACGAAACTTCGCTTTTTTTTATTTTTTAATTGAAAATGTCACTAACGTTTTCTTCTTTATTTTTTAGAAGACCTGAATGAACTGGACGACCAGGATTTTAAACGAATAAACTATGATAAGTTCGTTTGTTTTGCTTTTTGATTTTGCTTTAGGGAACGTAATTAACGTTTCTTTCGTTTTTTTTTTTAATTGGGAATATCACTAACGTTCTCTTTCGTTTTATTTTGTAGGAATTGAGCTTGAGACATTTAGGACACTTGGAATGGTAAGTTTTGCAAAACTTCCATTTTCTTTATGATTGTAGATGAAGTTTCAGAAAT